CAAAGTTCTGGTGGAAAATGTCAATTTTTACCTTCTCTGAATTATTCTTTCATGTACTGAAAGGATTGTATTTTGAGTTAAGCAAAATTACAATATGTGCAGGAGAGATATTTTCAGTTGTAATTTCCCATTGGTAATTTATAGGAAGAAGAGAACAAAATTTTAAAGTATTGCTTAGTAAATTATAATTAGGTCTTACAAGTAGATGGCCAATACTCAGTTTTCAGGCCCACTGAAACCATTATTTAATTGACCCAAAGCTTCTGATAAATAATACTCTTCAAGTAAATGCAACTTGATTCAGGTAGTCAAACACAACTTTAGAATGATATTTTCATGGAAATCTTCTCCAGTTCAAATGTATATTCTGTTAGTCTGAGAAAAAGATTATTAGCAAGAGGGTCTGACATCTACTTTTGACAGTGATATAATACTTTATGTATTACAATTTTTTTAATGTCTCTGACTTCTGAAATGTGATGGATACTTTTAATTTTTAAAATTTCCTTTTCTATAATACATTTGAGCCAATTTTCTAAAAACCTAAATCAAAGCAGAAGAATGTTTTCTCTTTAAGGAAGAATACAAATGAATGTCAAAAAGTTTCAAGATATTTAGTTCCATTATGGAAATCACAGCCATCAAAGCTGAATAGCTGTCTTATATTGTTCTATGTTTTATTTTAAGCACTTAATTCTATTGTGATCTGGGGGAGATGAATAATTTAACTTTATGAGCAGAAGTACAGATTACAGTCAAGTTATTTGCTTTTCCATATTATTAGTGATATCTATAATGCATTGCAAATAAGGTTTTCATCAGTGTAGGTTTATGGGTTGTGTATTGAAAGACCAAATGTCATGTATTGATAAATTGCAATAAAAAATAAATACACAGTAATAAGTAGGAAAAAATACGTTTCATATTCTGTATCCGAAAAAATCCCCATTTATAGAATGTGCCTGACAAAGATTTTTGCAGGTTCTAGAATTTTTAAACCATATTAGAGATTTTATTTTATGCTTATTTCAAACAAGTAGCAATCACAATGGCCTGGAGGGTTTTTCAGAAAAGGTGTGAGAGCCTTTTCAGAAAAGGTGGTAATCCTTCTGACAAGAGAGATGTAGTGTTTAGTTCAGCTGGCAGCTGGAGGGTGCATATCACACCCTTAGAGTTCACTTTTTAAAGTTCCAGGGAAGTCCTGGAAAGGCAGGAGTATCCCTGGTGTGATGTATCCAGCTGGAGGTACTTGATGAAAGGGTTTTATTAAGGTCTCTTTAAGGTAGTTAATGGTGAGAAATGGATTAGACAGGCGCTCATGAAGGTGAGTGAGAATTAGCTAGTGATCTAAAAATAGCAGCAGATTTTTAATAGTAGGGACAGGCTATAAGTTTTCATCAGCACTAGTTCCCTCCTATTGTGATTTCATAACTCTGATTTAAAATGCATAGCATTCATTCTGCAACTATGTAAATAGGAGGTATTTTTAAAATTAAAAAATTGTTTAATATTAAAGGAGGGCTAGTTGTGCTGTGACAATCAGTAAAGAGAATGACAGACTTTAATACTAAGGGTGACTGCAAGGCAGGATGAGCCCTCTCCTGACAGAAGGTTTCTGGTTGATCAGGTGTACAGGTACAGTTACTTTATTTCTGATGGACAGGACTACAACTTCAGGTTAGTTCAGTAACTTCAGTAGTGAAGTTAGATGACTTCAACAGGAATGAAATTAATTAGAAAGGGCTTTGATAATGTCAGTCAACATAGGCCAGGAATTAAATTAGTCACTTTCTCTGAAGAAAAGAACTATATTTTGAGGTAGGTCCTTTTGCTTGCACGTGCCCTAGTAGTTGCCACATGCAGGGCAGCTGTACAGCTGTACAAAGCTTTTTCTTTCGTGAAAGGTTGGAGTAGATTGAGGACCCAGCAGCTCCTCACATTACTGTCAGCCATAGATGGTTTCCTATATTTATGTCTTAAATGGAGGAAGGAAAATGACAGTTTGTAGTAAATGTAGCACACGAGGTTAGAAAATGTTTGTGCAAGTGGTATAAAAATATAACACTAAATCAACACATCCTCCTCTCATTAACATAGTTCATGCTAGAAAAAAGAGGTGCATTTTTTAGTAAGTCATGTTCCATTTCATCTGATGATATGTTTCCTTAATAGAAATACATTTTACTCAGTAGCAAGTCTACAATAATGTTTTTACTTATACAGAAATCCATCTTTTTTATCCCCCTCAGTCTTCCCCCCATGACATTATAGCTGTAATGTCATCAGAAGAGGGTTGCATCCCTATGAGGACACTGTGACATGGAGTGATATATTAATTTATTTATTTACACGTTTTGTGTTTGTTTATATAATCTTCTATTTGCAGCTAAACCAGTTCTTACTGTTGTGCTGTTTGTACTGCTGTAGATGCAAGTATGTAGACGTTTAATAATGAAGCATATGTACTCGTGAGATTTGTCAAACCAGAATCTGTGTAGCTTTATGTGTTACACTGTTCATCCTGGAGTTGATCTCTAAACCATATGTACTAGTGTTTAATGCTTTGGAGGATCAAATTGATGCAAAAAATGTGGCTCTGAAGACATGTGACCTATAGGTTATATAGACTGAGTATACACAGTGTGAGTATTAACAGTATATTATCTGTATGTTTCACGTGTGCACATATTTGTCTCAATCTTGCAATGAGATTCTTGCCTGTATCTGATGACTGCAGATTTCTCCTATATGGGAGACATAACTGGGGAGGGGATGTTATGCACACGTTTTCTATAGGCATGATAGAAATTTTCAGGGACTGGGTAATTTGCTATTAGAACAACTTATTTTGGGATGTGGCATGATTCTCATAATCTGAAGTATTTAAGTGAGAAATATTTATCTTCCTTAAAGCATTTCTGCATCTAATCTCTGTTGTCTTAATGAAGATTTTATGTCTTTGCGAACTGTCTGCATTGGGGTAGTTCTGTTGTTTTAATTGTCCCTTCCTGTTGGCCATTCTGGTTTTAGCCTTATGAAACTCGGTTCATATCACATTAGAGTGATTCAAGTCGAATCCCCAGTAACAGAATTTGTAGAGATTTTGTGAAACTTACAAAGATTATAATTTCTGCTGGTACTAATGCCACTGTAACAAGACAGGACATTTGAGCTTCACTGTAAGCAAATAGGTATCTGCATGATGCTTATAGAACTTGCCACGCTTCACACAAAGTTTCATTTTTGCAAGACTGAATTAGTTTTCTCATTTGTAGATGCCATTGCAAAGCTAAAGTACTTCACTATTTACAAGGCAATACTGGGTCCAAATCTTTCAAGCACAGTTTAGTAATTCTGTATGGTACCTAAGACAGTACAGGAGACCAGTTTGCCAGTCACCCCACGTGCCACACACACTGCACTGACAGTTGTTTTCCTTTGCTGAGCAGAGACTGAATTTCCTTTCTGGCTGTGAAATGAATGTTTTCTCTCCTATCAGATAGACAGAACCCTTTATACTTTCCTGGACACCAAGGAGAGCCCTTTTCTCCTTCTCCACTAAGTTGAAGTGTTTCCTTTCTTCTTGTAGGACAACTATGACAACAACAGGGCTTTGTATTTGCTGGCCTTTTTTCCCAGCCTTCTAAACTCTAGGCAGGATCTCCTGGTTGCTGCCTGTAAGGCTGCCCTGCAGAATCAGTGGTCATTTTGTGAGTGTAGAAAACAGCTTAGAAGGGATCTTAATTATAACGGTAGAGCTAAATATAAGAAGGAAGAACTAACAGCACAAATATAGCTTCTCATTTGTATTTTTGTTAAAGTTTGAGTTGATCTGCACTATCCCAGAGAAGGCCCACCTCTCAGTCTCTTTTATCTGGGATCTTTGCTCCAGTTTCCTGCAGGTAACTTCTTCAGATCCATGTAGTGTGAAAAGCCAAGCATGAATCAGGATGTGTCGGAAAGTAGCATTTTACATGTTTATTATGTAAGGATTGATAAAGGCGAGATTTGAAGATCCAGTTTGTTTTTTTCCTATGTAAGTGATCCCTTCTAATCACGTGGCAAGCAATGTTGTGTCAAACAGAAAACATAACAATCATTATATGTTCCAGACACGCCCTTTATGAAACTATTACATATAAATAACGCACGTTTCAATCTATCATTTGTCAGTGTCAGGGAAGAATATTTGTTAATTCTTTTTCCATCTTCCTCTGAAGCTTCAGTAGTTGTCTATAGCTTGATGGTGTCAATGACATCAAAGAGTCAATGCTTTTTGTGGCACAGAAACTCTGTTCTGGTGTTTGTCTTGCTCAAATGCTTGGACTAATACTGATACCATCCCTACAGAGATGGAAGGAATCTTTTCTAGAGTCAGGCAGCGCTATGAAACTCTTTCCCTTCACAACACAAAAAAATGGTTTGTTTTCTGAGTTCAGGACTCCTGAGTTCATCTGATTTAGACAAGTGCTGCCATTGAATCTTAGTCTGTTTTCTGCCCTTGGCACAAATTACAGTTTTATGGGAACTGAAATGCATGTTTTTGAGCAATAACAGCTGCTAAAAGAGTAAACTAACTGAATTATCCTTTTAGCCCTAATTTCTGTGGTGATTGTAAAATGCTATGAAATAGAAGTATATGGTCAAGTTATATGTTGGAAAATGATTACAAAGGATTATAAAATTTTGGTACTTGTAAAGCAGTCATGACTACAAAGTAGCCTAAGTATTTTTATTCTATATTTTATAAAGTAATATTAACATTTTTCCTTCAAAGCTGTTTTTTTATTCAAATTGTGCACCGTAAGCACATTTAGAGCATGACATGCTTTCTTCAGTTTAGTACAAAAATGTGAGAGCACATTCACAAAGAAACGCAATGAATTGATTTTTTTTCCATCAGCTGGCCATTTTATCTCTTAACTAGCATTAACTGTACATTTGTGCTACATAAAATATTGATAGAATTCTCTTTCTGCTTTCTTGCCATGATTACTTAGGAAAAGAAGCCCTTCAATATCAAGAGAACAGAGCAGAAGATACGACCAAAGGGACGAGAGAGACGAATATTCACAGTATGCTACATCAGACAGTGCGATGCCCAGGTCACCATCAGATTATTCAGATAGGCGGTCACAGCGTGGGCCTCAGTTATACGAAGAACCTGAACTGGGTGATTATAGAGATTCCAACAGAAGGAGCCGCAGGCGTTCCAAGGAGTATCCGGTAGAAGAAGAAGATGCACAAAGCAGGGAGGAATATGAAAGGCAAAGGAGGGAAGAGGAATACCAGGCGCGATACAGAAGTGATCCTAATTTGGCTCGTTATCCAGTCAAGCCACAGCCATATGAGGAGCAGATGCGTATCCACGCCGAAGTGTCCCGAGCACGCCATGAACGGAGACATAGCGATGTCTCACTGGCAAATACAGAGTTGGAAGATTCTCGGATGTCCATGCTCAGGATGGAACGGCCATCAAGACAAAGGTCAGTGTCTGAGCGCAGGGCTGCCATGGAAAATCAACGTTCATACTCTATGGAAAGAACTCGAGAGGCTCAGGGACCAAGTCCCAATCGTCAGAGGACCACAAATCATAGCCCTCCTACACCTAGGAGGAGCCCAATTCCTCTGGAAAGACCTGACATGAGGCGCTCTGATTCTTTAAGGAAACAGCACCATTTGGATCCCAGTTCTGCTGTTCGGAAAACAAAACGTGAAAAGATGGAGACCATGTTACGGAATGATTCGCTCAGCTCAGACCAGTCTGAATCCGTCAGACCTCCACCACCAAAGCCCCATAAAACGAAAAAAGGAGGTAAAATGCGCCAGGTTTCATTAAGTAGCTCAGAAGAAGAATTGGCATCCACTCCAGAATATACAAGTTGTGATGATGTAGAGATTGAAAGTGAAAGTGTTAGTGAAAAAGGTAAGATTTCTAAGATTTTGATTGTTTCAATATATAGATTTAATTTGTTTTCCATTAGTTTGGACATTTATTTTAGCTATTTAAATTGATTGCAGTCACACATCTACAGCCCTTCATAGATGACTCAACTTTGTTGTGATGGGAATTGGGATTTTTTTCTGATTTTGTGTTTCATTTACATAAATTTAATGATTTATGTGGAAAACATCACAGGTCCTATAAGTATTTGGATAAGTTAAAGGAAAAAAACATGCCTACTAAAAAACCCGTCAATGAAATCTGCAAAGTATCTAAAGCTGGGCTGTCATATAAGGCCATGGTTTCATGTCCATTAATACCAGATTTGAGTGCTCCTGGATCACAATGAGTGCATATTTGATCTGGATCAAGTGTGGGTGCATGACCACTTTTTTGTTGAATTAACAAGCACGTGATATAGACCTTATGCCAGTTTCATGCTGTCTGCTGCAGGTTAAAGAATGTCTGATCTGCAGAAAGACCTGTGTGTATAAAGTTAACTCATTGAAGTTTTGAGACAAATTTAAAATGACTGATGTGGTTTAAACCAATGGAGGTTTATTTTTCTTATGGTGCTATGATGATTTTTGGTTTTAGTGTGTTTTAAGAGTTACTCTAATGTCAGAAAGAAAATGAAGATTGATTGAAATTACTTCCCAGCCTATAAAAAGATAATTTCTATTTTAAATATGAAAGTATTGGGGACCATGATTTTAAACTCAATCAAATTAATATCATTAGTTGCTTATCTTCATGTATGTTGTTTTAAGTTTCTTTTGAGTTATTATCCTTATACCAGTGAACCTTTATTACTTCTCCTGAATGGTCATCTGCTGTTGTGGATTGGGAATAGAAAATGTACCACTATTTATTATTCTTATTAATATTGCTATAATTGGTTCTGAAGTAAGTAATTAACTCGAGTAAGTGAAATAACTCTGAATTTTCATACGTCAATATCCACAACCATGGTCTCATAAGTAAGGAGCAAGATAGTGTAGAATGGAAGGAAATTTCACCAGGTCAAGGTAGACTGTTGCATGTACTTGTGTGAAACAACTGTGCTTAAACCTTGACCCCCTTAGTCTTCCTGATGAGTATAAAAAACTTATACCAACTTTATGGTGTTCATGATTTTGTTCTTAGAAGCAACATTGAGAAAATTGGACCAATCAATACACTGGAAGTAGTAACAAAATGTTTATTTTAGGCAATTCAGTGTAGGAAATGTAGTATAAAAATAGTATACAAACAATATATTTTTTGTACACATAACACACAAAGCATATACATTTAGGATTATAAAGCATAGAATAATTTATATTTTAATTACCGCTAATTTAGCACTTCCATGGCTTCTAACACCTCAATAAACCTTGTGTCTGCTGCTGCATGGCTCTCTATCCTCTACCTCCATGGACTCAGCAGAATGGAGGATCCCAGTAGCACAGTGTTTCTCAGACACTGGGATGCTGCTGCCTGGCTTATCTGTAACAAGTCTGGTTTCATGCCTTTCCCCTTTAGACCTAGTTTAAAGCTCTCCATGAGCCCTGCTAATGCCTGAGAAAAATCCTTTTCCCCTTTTGAGACAGGTGACCCCCACCTGTCATCAGCAGGCCTAGTGTCACGTAAACTGTAAACATGATCAAAAATCTGCAAAATTCTGCTGCTGACACCAGGCCCAGAGTCATGTATGGATCTGCTGGATCTCCCTCTCTTCCCTCCTCATTTCCTGCATCTGGGAGAATAGAGGAGAAGCCCATTTGTACTCCTGATTCCTTAACCTCTCATCGTAAAGCCCTGATGTCTCTCTTTGATTGCCCTTGGACTTCTTATTGCCAGTTTGCTGCCTGCCTGAAAAATCCATAATGGCTGAGGGCCTTTCTAGGACAGGAACCTTTCCCTTCACAGCTTAGTCTCAGGGATGCACCAGACTTTGTCAATAAATGGGTCTTGGTCTACATAGTGGGCTTTCTACTTCCTTCAGATGGGAGTTTAAAACATGCTGTACAATTCTAGATTCTCTGTCATAATAATGGTCTTACAAAACCTGTAGCTTTCACTTAAATAATTCTGCATTTTAAGTGTCAAAGAAAACATTCTTATTGATAACAATAGTTAATGATAATAATGACAATATCATGTCTGTCCCGATTTCTGAGATAGTGAATGAAATTAGATATTTGTTATATAAATTAATTTTAAAAGCTTGCAAAGATTATGTGGGAAAAATAATGCTCTATACTATGCTTTGTTAATCTTGATTGAATTAGTATAAACACTCTGTCATGACATACAGAGTGTAACTGTGTCAGTGTGGCCTAGTGCTGACCTGCAGCTGGAACCAATGTGGAGAATAATCTTGTCTTTTCATAAAGGAGAGGAGCTGCTTGAACTGGGGAAAGATGTGACTGCTGCTGTGTCTGCTCCCAGCCCGTGTTGGGGGTCCTGGCCTGGGAGGAAGTGACCATGGGTAGCACGGGAAGCCATTCCAGCAGTTACACCTGTACCTGGAACCAGAGCCAGCTGGTGCCAGCCTCGGCAGCCCGAGCCACATAATTGAATAATATCCTCAGACCTTCCTACTTATCCCCTGCTCTTTAACCACTGGAGAGGAATTTTTTGCAAAGAGGGACTGGGACTCCCTGAGCATGGAACGTGGGAGCATTGACATGAAGGGCTGGGATGGCATTTGGTGGGACGAGATGTGCTAAGACCATGGTCGGGAGCTGACACTGTGACAGATGAGTTCATTCTTTAGAAGCTCAGGAAACAATGCAGGAGAACACTATTAAATGAACATAGCTGAGATTAAAAATGTGTTTACCTAAAACTTAGGTTTTGCCAGAACTAGACATAGTTTCCAGAGTGAATTTTGTGCAGGTCTTCACAGACATTGAAACTCTCTTGGCTGACATAACTGAACACCAGATAGCCTCTGCCTTTTTCTGTGAACAGGATGAACAATTCTTTCTTAATTGTGTCTGAAATTCACAATATTTTTTTTTTAAATGTAAGAGACCCTTCTTCACTCTTGCTGTGAATACCAGGCTTCTGGAACTGCAAAGATGTCTCCATTTACAACACTTATTGCCAGTCCTGAGATCAGTGTAGCAGTCAGTTCAAAGCTATATCTCCATGACAGGACCTCCTGCCTGTCTTAGGAAATACACTTTGGAGAGGAAAAAAAAGAAGTTGTCTATATGTTTTGGACCAAAATATCAGGTATTTTCCCTAACAATGAAAGATCAAAATTGCTTAAAATGTTAAAAAAAAACAATTATTGAAAGGCCAATGTTTTTTTACAAAATCGTAAATTTTAAGTGGCTGTAAAATAGATTCTCCATCACTAAACCTGGAGATTATGACATATTTATAAATGCTCTAGACTGTTCAAATCACCAATTATTTCTCAAAACTGTCTCAGTTTACATGGTGCAGTTTGAAGGCTCTGAGAAATGTGGCTTATAAAAAGAGAATAGTTGTGATGGTACTGTAGTAGACTGAACACTTCATGTGTTCATGTGTTGGACCTATAGAGGGCCAAATAAAGCTGTATTTTGTGGTATGCAAATTTGGCCAACCTTTGTACATTGCTAGTCCAATTTAAGTGTTTTCTATTGTGAGGGACAGTTAGAGTACTTTTTAGGTGCATGTTAGCTGTTTCTGTTCAATTCTAAAGAATTGGTCTTAGGGGAGGTTTGAAAAGGCCTCCATAATTTGCTAGCCAGCATGAAGCACATGTGAAGTCGAGTGCCACTGGCTAATTCCATTGATGCCTTGAGGAGCTGGAACAGAGGCTACACACAGAGTTAAGGGGAATAAAATGGGTATTTATTGAGAGGCCTACAAAAGCCACACCCTAGCAGTATGAGTGCTACAGTTGTGACCCCTGCCTGGATGGCTCCAAGATGGAAGCAAAGGAGGGGCTGGTCACAAAATCTTACACTTTTATAGTTTTGGTTCATTTGCATGAACCCACTCTCCACGTTTCCATGTTGTTTGTGCTTAGGGCCTGAAGTCTGGAGAAACTGTCCTTGAGTTCTTTACTAGAATAGGACTGTTTTGTCTTCATCACCCTAGCACATCAGAAAAGCACATCCAAGGAGAATAGGAAAACTAAAGGCATCATTTCCCCTGTCAAGGCACCACCATGTGTCCACAGGCTTTACAGGTAAATTTAGAAAATCAAGCAGTACCACTGCCCATGTATTCCTTATGGCAATACTGTCACACCTGCAGTCTGCCAAAGCACCAATCTGAAGAGACTCAGGAAAGCTTGGGATTCCTGGGGTTGTGGTACCCCCACTCAGAACACAGGCACCAAAGAGGTGACCTGCACTGAAGCGTCTGCACCTTCCCCAAACACTTGAGGGTCTTAAAAGCCCTACAAGTCTACAAATCTCTCAAACTCTAGGGATTCAGCAAGAGACAGTCTCTCCATGGAAGAAGAGAATTCATTCAAGGAAATCTAGGTGCATGATAGTTCTAAATATTGCCCTAATTTGTTCTAAATATAAAGTAGGACATAGTAGATTCTCCAATGACAGTAAACAGTTCAGGCATACGTGCATACCATGATCCCAGCCACTTTTCAAAGCACCCTGTGAGAGGTATCTGTTTGCACAAATGGTGACTGACATCTAATGTGGGTGGAATCTGTGGTGGGAAAGCCAAATGTGTTTGTGTTTTGTCAGTTCTTAAATTTAGTGTTTGCTTTCACTCTTATTTTATTAAAACATGATAGCTAGTTAGTTTTTATTATCAAAGAAACTCATATGCATAGAAAGAATCCTTTAGGTTGGAAGAGATCTTTGGGATAAAATCCTATGTTAATTTAAGAATGGCAAGTTCACCACTAAACCAGTGTCACATCCATGCCTTTTAAATACCTCCAGGAATAGTGAATCAACTAAATCCCTGGGAAACCTGTTCCTGTTCCACTGTTTGACAACCCTTTCAGTGAAGAATTTTTTCCTTAT